TGAAAATTGTTTCATAAGCTGGGCACAGTGGCTCACACCTGTAATCCTAGCACTTTGGAGGTTGAGGCGAGAGGATTGCCTGAGCCTAGGAGTTAGAGACCAGCCTGGGCAACTTGGCAAGACCTCATCTCTACAATAAATCAAGAAAATTAGCAGGGTATGGTTACACCCGCCTGTGGTTCCAGCTATTTGGAAGGCTGAGGTGGAAGGATCACCTGAGCCCAACGGGTTGAGGCTACAGTGGCCCTGAGTGTTCCACTGCACTTCAACCTGGGTGAAAGTGTGAGACTCTGACTCAAATTTTTAAAAATTGCTTCATTAAAAAATTTCCACTTATTGTTCAAAAGAATATTAGGACATGGAATCCAGAATTTAAATACAAGTTACCCAGAATCATACTGCCATAATAATTCAACTGTTTCAACTGTTTTGATTTTCCTTGCAGGTTTCCATTATTTTGTTTATAAACACTCATGTGCAAACACTTATAGAAATACACACAAATATAACATTGGTGTAAAATATTTTAGATGGTTTATTCTTGAGCCAAACTTGAGAACTTAAGCCCAGGTACATCTATCCTCAGGAGGTCCTGAGAAAGTGTGCCTGCTGCAGCCAAATGATGGCTTGATTATATACAGTTTTAGGGTGGCAAAAGTTACAAAAACCGAAAATCAATACATATGAGATTCTCATTGTTTTGGCCAGGGGAGGAGGAACATTTCCAAGCGGGGGCTTGCAGGTCATAGGTGGATTTAAAGATTTCTTTTGACTAGTAATATGTAGTCTTTATCAGCAGATAAGATTTGCTAGAACAAAGTGCGGAAAGGCTGTAGGTTTGTTGATATGTCCATGAAGTTAAGATGTTTTGCTGAGTTCTTATCAGTCGTGATTCCCCAAACCTCTTAGTTAGGAATTTGGGTAGAAGAAAAAGGTCAGATTTCATCCTCAGTAGTTTTTACATAATTGTAACTATTGTGTGTATGAGATTTTCCTTCTACTGCCTTTGAAGGTTAAGTTCAGTTTATAACTCACATTCGTCAGCAAATGAGCAAAGGGATTCAATTCCTCGCCTTATTCCTGAATTTTAATGATTGTTCCATTTTTGCCATTTTTAATCAACTTGGTTAAACTATGTTTAGAGTGTAGCAGCGAAAGCATAGCACTATCCAACATGTACATATTATTTTAAAGAGAACACAGTAGATCTTGTTATGGCTAGAGAAACCATTATTTCAGTTTTCACACCTATTAGGCAGATTTAGTAATAGTTTGCCCATTTTTCTTTATTTAGAAAGATTTACTGAAAGCTGCTATGTGCTAGATTTCTTGGTGAATTGTTCTTCACTCAAATTGTAGCGGTCTCCCCATGGCTGCCTACTCATCCTTAGGGTTTGGTATGTGTTATCTCTTCATTCCTGCCTTCTCTCATATCATCACCCTGTATGCCAGCCTACTTTACCTTGTATCTCTTCTTCAAGGCCCTCAATCCAATTTGTAACTACACATTTGTTTAGTTGCTTATTGAATCTCTTCCACTCTTCTCTAAGCTCTCTTAGGAAAGAGACTGAATCTATTTTAGTCTTCAAGGTAAGGTCATATGATATTTACCAAAAAAAAACTGATGATGGGGGCAAAAATGTGGAGGAAGGTGATCGTACTCGGAGAAGAGGGTGATGACTCGGGACACTCCCTGAATTGTTTATGTCTTGTATACCACTGTAGTATTCTCAGCACCTAGCACAGTGTGCAAATTCAGTATCTATTTGTTGAATAAATATTAACATGAATTGACTTTTCATTTCCTGCAAATCACCCAAGGGAAGGGAGTAAATATATGTCTATGCTACGGGCATTGGAGAGATTTGGGCTGGTGTAGTCGTTACCCACAAACTTGGAAGGTGTGAGTTGAGTTGCCTCCTGCCTTGTGAGGTCCCCTCCCTTCAGAGATGGACTGACAGAAGGAAGCATGGCAGTGGTTTTTTACTTCCAGGTTGTCATTCAAAATCGACCATTGGATAGAATTCATGGAACCCATGACTGAGGTCGTTGAGGGTCAGAATTTTCATTTGATCACATCAACCCTAGACTAGAAATTCTGAAATTTGCTCACTGATGATATGTAGATTAAGGATGATGCTTTTATTCATTTTTGCTTTAGAACTCCTTTTTAGGTGAAGTAGTGACGAAATCAGATTTCTGGTATTTCCTTATATATTGAAATTTTATCTGACTTTAAGGATCAGTATCAAAAGTTCTACATTAGTGCAAGAAACATGCTGACCCTACTTTCTAGACCAAGTGGACAAATGTGAAATTAGTTTAAAATATTGAAAGTTCATGTATTATATGAATATGTAAGAATATAAATAAATGCATTATTAAATATTTCAATATATATTGAAAAGTTATACATTATTAAAATGTTTCCTCAACCAAATTGGGATTTTTCCTTCATATACTATTTGGTAATGTTATTTTTGACCTAACATTATATATTGTTATCTATTTTCACTCTGACTTTAAAGCCAAATGTAATGATTTTTGAGTTACTTTTGTACATAGTGTATGCTTTTTTTTTCCTTTTTAGTACAGCTATACAAGATCTATGCAATATTGAGAACAAATCTCTTCTTTTGGCCAATGACTCGGTGAGGAAATATCAATTTTATTATTATTTAAGTATGTAATTTAGTGGTCCATTTGCCTACCATTGAGTTCTGCATTTTTCATTTGAAAAGTATAAACAATTTAATTATAGTCAGTATTTAGTGTACCCGAGTCTGGGGACCACTTACTTGTAGCTTTTCTTCAAAAATATCAGAGGTGAGTGCTTTTAGACTCCAGCTTGAAATGGGGTATTATAACTCCCAATCCTCATACTAATAAGTAGGTATCATTAAAGAAAATAACCATTAATGCATAGCAATTTTGACCTTTCTCTTCCATGAGTGATGCATTGATGTTTTCCGTATATAATAATTAAAATCTTAATTAGATAAAAGCAGTCAAACTAGGCCATTTCTTGAATGTTTTCCTCGAAGAACAAGTTTATGGAGTATAAGAGATTATGGAGTATGAGAGAGAGAGAGACAATCTATCCAACTTGTGTTAGTTTGCCAACCACACACATCCAAACAAAATCTCCCAAGCTTGCCTTTCAGAGAAGAATCTTTTTTTTTTTAATTTTGATTTTTATTATAAAGATGTGGGGTACATTTCGGGTTTAGGTATACAAACACTGATCATGCAGATACCCTTGTTGATGAGGTATGCCCTTTCCTCCCCTAGCAGTTTCTCTCAACTGCCAATCCCACCCCCTCTCCCCTGACCGTTTCCCACTACTGCCAATCCCTTTCTTACAGTATTATAATTGTTCAAGGTCCACTTATGAGTGAGAACATATGGAACTCTGTTCTTTGTTTCTATGATTAATTACTGAGTATGATCAATTCCAAAACCGTTTTGACCTTCTCTATTTATGCACTGACATACACATTAGGTTAAAAGGTGATTGGTGGAAGAGACCAGAATACACTAGCATTCTTAAATGTCAGTTGGCTAATATCCTAGTCAGTTATTTTAGAAAATGTACCTTTTTTGTATTCTTTCTTCAGGAGCTAACAAGAGCTATACTCAGATATGTTCGAATGCCTCCTTAATTTTGGAACAGTCTAAGAATCACTCATAGGACCTTCCTAGAACCTTTTTTTTGAAAGACTCTTGGATTTCTTAAGACTTACTTTAAGTAAAAATACAATAATTTCATAACTTGTTAATAGATGGTTGGTACTAGCAGCTGCGCAGGCAAGTTCCTATGCTATCACTCCTTGACTATGATTATGACATACAATTTTCACGTGGCATTTCCTTAATGACCCTGTGGATTGCTTGTTGCAATTTAGCCCAGTATACATGACACAACTTTTTTTCTGCTGAAAAATCAACTCTAACGTTCATATATGTTTTGTTGTGCAGTTTTAATTATTATGTCTTTTAAAACAAGATAACAAATATCTCTTCCTCTTCACTATTTTCAACAGATTTGTATTTTATAAACCTTTACTCATATTTCCCTGGGGAAATAATCTGCAGATAAAAAATACATTTTGTATAAGAAAAACTCATTTAAGCTCCAACTAAGAACTTAATCTTTTTTTTTTTTTTTTTGAGTCAGAGTCTCACTCCCTGGCCCAGGCTGGAGTGCAATGCATGCTCAAGGCCACCCCAGAGTCGACCTGCTGGGCTCTGGTGATCCTTCCGCCTTAGCCTTCCAAGTAATCCAGAACTACAGGGGTGTGCTACCACACCCGGCTAGTTTTTTTGATCTATTGTAGAGACGAGGTCTCACCAAGTTGCCCAGGCTGGTCTCGAACCCCTGGGCTCAGGCAATCCTCTCGCCTCAGCCTCCCAAAGTGCTGGGATTACAGACTTGAACCACCGCGCTCGCCGAACTTAATCTTTACTATGTATCATATGTTCACAAGTATTCTAAAATTATCTTTTATAACTTGTGAGAAATTCTCTCAAATATAACCTCTGTAGTGCTGAATCATTACCTGAAAATGACTCCCCAAAGATTATTTAAATTATTGTGGGCCCCAAAAATCATACAATGAGATATTTCTCTTGGAAAATAAACAAACTAAATCTACCTCACAAAATATCTTGACAGGTGACTAAGTCCCTCCCGCCTCCATGGTCCTATGTTATAGGACCCATGTGCTAACTCCATGTATAAAACGAGGCATTAAGAAGCTCTTCTCCAATATCACCTTTTGCTATTACTGCTTTATATTTAGAGAGAGAGGCAATATTTTAACAAGATTGAAATAAATTTTAAAAACTTAGTATAAAATATTACTGTTATTCCAAATACTACAACTGTTTTCATTTTCATCTACCCGTTCTTTGCACATTCGTTTTTAGCATTGTAATCACGACATCTTGTGATTGTGCGCATGAGATCTGTTTATTTCCACTTTACCTACACTTTTCAGAAAACTATTATTTCGAGCTCGCTTTCGCCGGGACGCGGGCGGAAAGACACGAGGAACAACCCACCGGAAGAAAACCGTGATTCGGCGAGAACAGTGAGTGTGTGGGTGAGGTCGAAGCGGACTCAACCTATAAGGCCCGCCCTCCACGGCTTCACCTCCTCTGGGTCTCGCTCCCCGGGTCTCGCTCCTGACGCCCCGCCTCCCTGGCCCCGCCCCGCCTCCCAGAGTCCCGCCCCGCCTCCCCGGCCCCGCCCCGTCGCCATGTTGTTCCCTCCGCGCTGGACAGGAGCAGCTGGAGCCAGAGCTGGGCAGCGCCACCGCCGCTGTCTCCTGTCTGCCGGGCGTCCAACCCTCTCTCTGTCCTTATTGCACCCAGACGGGCAGGCCAAGAGCTCCCGGGGCGTCCTCCGTGTGACCGCGAGGTGAACGGGACCCGGTACTCCCCTCGGGGCCGAGCGAGGACCGGATCGGGTCGCGAGGGCGTCTGGGTCCGAGGGGGCGGCCCGGGCCTCGGGCGGCTGGGGCGGGGTGCGCGCGGGGCTAGCGTGGGTCACAAGGCAGCCCTGGGAGGGGGACCGGTTTGTTCCCGTCTCCTGCTGACTGACGCAGGAGGAAAGATGGGTTCCCACACCCACACACTCGAGGAGAGGGACACACATCCACACGGGAACACACATACACTGGGGAGAGACACAAAAAAACCAAGACACTCGAGGGCAAGGGTACGCGCACATACACGTAATGTAGGTGAAACAAAGGCGTTCACACGACTTGATTTTGGCAACGTCTGAATTTCAACCTAGCTGAACGTTGCGCGATGTCTTAAGACCGACCACTCGGGTGAGGAGTTTGGAAGGTAAAGCCAATCCTAGGGACGACAGGGGGGCATTATCTGATTCAGACACTGGCTAAGGTTTCAGAATTGCGTTCCTTATTTTTTTCCAACTTACAAAAGGCAAGATGAGAATTTTAAGTGCTGACCAAATAGTTGGAGGTATTTTTTTTTTAAGTGATGACATATCCCGTGACCACTGTTCTTTTGAGGAGTATTTTCTGCTGGTTTCCAAATTGGCATGTGACCACTGTCTTTTCATAGAATTTTAGCGTCCTCATACAATCAATGGGCAGAATTTGATTTCTTTTTTTAAATGTATGTGTTTTTCCGTTTGTGGCACCATTGTAATGGAAAAATCCCTACATTGCCTGTTGTCTCATAAGCTGTCCAATGGAGCAAAACTAGAGATGAAGGAAATCCAGAACTGTTTAGCTATGAACTTTTTTTATTTTTTTGAGTTGGAGTCTCACCCTGTCGCCCAGGATGGAGTGTAGTGGCACGCTCACTGCTACCGCAGCCTCTACCTGCTGGGCTCAGGTGATCCTTCCTCCTCAGCCTTCCAAGTAGCTGGAACTACAGGCACGCACCATCACACCCAGCTAATTTTTGATTTATTGTAGAGACGAGGTCTCGCCAAGTTGCCCAGGCTAGTCTCGAACCCCTGGACTCAGGCAACCCTCTCGCCTTGGCTTCCCAAAGTGCTGGTATTACAGACTTGATCAACCACACCCGGCTTAGAAATGAACTTTTAAGACGCCTGCTTTTAGTTTTTCTTTTAGAAGCTTATGTTGCAGTTATCATCACTACTTCTCTAAACTTTAGTATGTTACTTAAATTCCTAAATTTAAGACAATGGTGTAGCAATCTGGTGCTTTCAATATTCTTGTGTACGTTGTAGTAAAGTCCTCATTTATACTAAAATGTTTCTGGTTTGGTGGCTTATTCGTTTTGGAGATTTTGTGGTTTGGTGTTATTATTTGGAATATTAGATAGGCAAAAACTAAGTTGAATATCATTGGCCTTGACTACAAGCTGGGTTTTGGAGACTAGGGAAATACTTTAGTGCTATTACCTCTTTTCCAGCGTTTTCTCTTTATCTTTCTCAACCACTTCTGTTTAGACTACAGCACTCTGGAGGGCTGCGGATAAGATCCTTTGGTTCTAGAAATTATTATTTTTTAACCTCCTCTCATTTCTTAATATTTATTGTGCACTCACCCTGGCAATAAATGTTCTGTGTAAATCTTGTACATATGTCATTTCATTTCATTCTCAGAGCATTTCTGTGGTAAGAGCTCCATCTTACAGATGAGGAATTTGCTGAGGCATAGGAAGGTTTGGTCTCTTTCCCAAGGTCACACAGGTAGTGAGGGGGCCAAGTGGTATTCAAAGCACGTCTGTGTGATTTTAGAGTCATTAGTTTCAACCAAGGTGGGCGTGGGCAATTCGTCTGGAGGCGTTTTTGAGTCACAGCTGGGGGCAGAGAGGTGCTGCTGACATCTAGTGGGTAGACACCAGGGATGCTGCTGAACATTGTATAACTTACAGGACAGGGCTCCACAATGAAGAGTTGTCTGGCCCAAAATGTCCCTAGTGTTGGGTTTGAGAAACCCTGCTTGGTTCTGACATCATCCTAGAACAGAATTCATTGCCTGCCTACTCAAGGACAGGCGTTCATTAAAACAAATAAAGGAAGAAAAAAACAGGGCCAGGTGCAGTGGCTCACTCCTGTAATCCCAAGCACTTTGGGAAACTGAAGCGGGAGAATCATTTGAGCCCAGGTGTTGGAGGCTACAGTAAGCAGTGATTGCACACTGTGAGGCCTGGGTGACAAGCAAGACCCTGACTCTAAAAATATATTTAAAAAAATAAAACAAAACAGCTCATACTGGGCAGAGAAGTATCTGTCTCATGGCGTTTACTGTGAGTGGATTTAGATGAAATGGTGAAAACTTGATGTATGCTTTATAGTTTTGTATGGTTAACCACGTGTGAATATTTACAAGAATCTAATTGAGAAGACATTCTTGTTGAGCATAAAAATATTCTTTAAATTTCACCTCGTTAGATAAGAGTTATGCATGCATTTTATCAATGGAATGCAGAAATAAGTGACGAAATTTTTAAAAATGACTTTTGCATAGTTTTCTTTCTGGTGTTTTCCAGTCTGTTTTCTTCATGTCTATCTAAGACCAGGCCTTTCAAAATATGGGGGGAGAACCAAAAAATTATTTATTAAAAATTGTATATTTATTCTTACATGTTTATATTTTAGTCACCTTCAAAGTACTCTCTGTTTGATGCAATAAACCTATTGAGATGCTTTTTCCACTGACCAAAACAGTTTTGAACTCATCAATTTTGATGCCTTTTAGTGCTTCTGCCCTTTTTAGTTTCACCTTTTTCATATCTGCAAAATTCTTCCTTTTGAGGACTTTTTTCATCCAAGGAAACAACAAAAAGTTGCTCGGGGTAGGATCTGGTGAATAGGGAGAATGGGGTGCTGGGTGTGGGGGGGTGGTCATGCTGTTTGGGGCCAAAAACTGCTGAACACTCAGTGTGGTGTGGGCAGGTATGCTTGTAAATCACCCATCATGAAATGGGCAAATGCGTTGAAAGAATCTCCAAAAAAAATTCACTGAAGCAGAATGCAGCCTTTCACAACTATGCCAGCTGGTACACTGATGCCAGTGGGTTCCTAGAACACTTACCTAGCAGGGGAATCCTGTACTACAAGGGGCTTGCTCTCCAAAAGGTAATTCCGTATTTTTTGTGGTCCCTCTCATATGTGCTGCTTCATTCTGGTGGCAGAACTGTTAGGTGAACTTTGTTTTGCTTTTGTTTTTGTTTTGAGTTGGAGTCTCACTCTGTCACACAGGCTGGAGTGCAGTGGTACAGTCATGGCTCACTGCAGCCTCGACCTCCTAAGGTAGTTCTTCTGCCTCAACCTCCTAGTAACTGGGACTACAGGCATATGCCACCATGCCGGGCTAATTTTTTAATTTTTCTGTAGAGATGCAATCTCACTGTGTTGGTCAGGCTGGTCTCATACTCCTGGGCTTAAGCGATACTCCTTCTGCCTCCCAAAGTTCTGGAATTACAGGCATGAGCCACCACACCCGGCCTCTTAGGTGAACTTTGGAAGGGAGTGGTTGAGAGGAACAATCAAAAAGGGTTGGATCTCATTTTAGGCGTTACTGCGAAAGTATTATTTATGTAGTCAACATAGTATCTTTTTGTTGGTAGCTTTGGTTTTTGACTCATGCTACTGCACAGCATATTCTTTGCTAATGAATAGATTTCTGTGCCTCTTATCAGGAGTTGTCTGCTGTGGGTGGGAGGATGCTGATTTATGCACCTCAAAATGTTTGTTAGTAGTGCATGGAATCTGCAAAAGCGATGTGTTTTATTGTGGTAAATGTCCAAAGAAGTTGATGCCAGAGTTATCTTTCTCGATCATTAGGTGGCTTGCTCCTCTGGCCAAGTTAGATCTTCACATTTCTTTTCTTTTTCTTGAGTTGGAGTCTCCATCAACTAGGCTAGAGTGCAGTGGCACGCTCACGGCCACCCCAGCGTCGACCTGCTGGGCTTCCAGCAATTCTTCTGCCTCAGCCTTTCAAGTAGCCGAAACTACAGGCGTGCACTACTGCGCCTGGCTAAATTTTTTATTTATTGTGGAGACAAGGTCTCGCCAAGTTGCCAGTGCAGATCTCGAACCCGCAGGTTTAGGCAATCTACTCACCTCGGCCTCCCAAAGTGCTGGGATTACAGGCTGAGCCACCGAGCCGGCCCTTCACATTTCTTTCTTGTTAAAATGAGACGATTGTAATTTATAATCTCTAGGAGATTATTAGCCTCCAACTAGTTATACCCAGCCAATTTGTTGGTTAAGCAGCTGGAGGAAATATACCAAATGGAAGTGTGTGTGTTTGGGCAATGCGTCTAACTTGAAAGCTATCTAAATAATAAATTTGTTAGTCAAAGCCAAGCATTAGAAAATAGGGCTTGTGACTAAGTAGATCATCAACAGAGAACATTCATTAAGGATTTTTTTTTTTTTTGGTGAGGAAGTGGGGGTGAACTCACAGAACGCCTCAGGGAGTTTGGTGGAAAGGTTTGATGCAAATGGAAGGTCAGGATATGGGAGGGAGGAGACCTGGAACCGCAGTCCCAGGCCCATGTTGCCAGGGAGCCTGGGGATGCCCGGGCTGGTTAGTAACTTGGAAGAGAAATCTTTGTTTTTCAACGTGCCTCTTGA